GCAAAGGGCTGATTTATTTGAGAACAATATTTCAGCTAACAAAATTAGCCTTCCTTAGGGCCAGAGAGAGAGAAAAAAAACATTTTAAACACATTTTCCTCAGCCTTGGACCCACACCCCATTACCCTGGATCCGCAACTGTCAGACTTTACTAACCCCTTACTCAAGGCTCACTGATATCCCTGTTTCATAACTACTACTTTTGAAAACCTATATGTAGTAGCATATGAAATGCTAAATTGACCGGACATTTTATCATCTTTATTTTAACTTGCTGCTGTTTTGCTAGCCTCCCACCCAGTCGTTTGAGGGGCGCTTATATTTAGTCCCTTCCCACAAAATATGATGAAATATGGGTTCCACTAACTATACCTGCGTGGGAGGCTACTGTTTTGCCCCATGTGGGGTAATTTAAGAGTCTTGAATTCTCGATTCCACGTTTTGGATTCTGGATTTCTTGGCAGTGAATTTTGGAGTCCAGATTCAAATTGTTTGTGGGATTCCGGATTCCATGGGATGGATTCCAAAGCCCTGGATTCCGCAAGCAAAAATTTCCAGGATTCCAGAATCTGAATTACCTCATAGGGTGAACTGTTTGTATTGTATTTTTAATCATGCCTACTCCTTCGTAATTTTTTACCTTTCACAACTTTCTTATTTTAAAATGTTGATCCATTTTACAAATCCTTCGACTTTTCACTTTTAAGCGTTTATTTGAAAAACAGCTGTATCAGGGGACTGAAAAAATTATCATTGGGAAGCTGTGCAAACAAAAAGGGAAAACTTAAATTTCATGAGTATCTGAGAAGATACGAAAACACTTGTCGAGATTTTTTTTTATTTCTTGTTCGTTTAGGAAATTAAAACGGAGTTTGCATTCTCCAGTTTGCCGCTAATAGACGTTTAGGTCCTGTTTAGAATTTAATGTGATTTTGCTGTTATATTTTCGCGTGCATTTTCTTTTCTTTATTATTTTTGTTCATTGCGGAAGTTGTAGCATTGATCTTTATCCCGCTCGGTTTGAAAAGGAAATCTTGCACTTTTGTTTATTGAGAGACCACTTAAAACTCAGCGACGTATATGCAAATACCCCTGTAAACTAATCTGACCAATCGGATTGTTTGCAAAAGTAAGATGTACTGATTTGTTTAGATTGTTCACTGTCCACTATTTGTTTGTAAGATCATCAGGATCAAGCACTAACTGGTATGGGCGGCCATGTTAGGGTGTGTTCCTTTGGGATGAGCACCCTCAATTTCATATGTTCCGGGGGGTGGGCCTCGGACTTTATAGCGGTGGGGGGAGGGAGGCGCTTCCTCCCAAACTGTCCCCCACCCCCTAAGTAGATTTGATAGTCACCCAAGATGGCCGCCCGTAACGCAAAGCCTTCGATCTCGTTGATCTCATGGAAAAATCAGGGACTATGAATTGTTTAGCCTGATGTTATATGTTATTCATCTCAATTTGTAGTTAGCCTACGAACCACAGACGTATTTCCGGTCGTCACTTCTCTCCCTCCGAAAAGTTTTTCTCGGTGGGTGAAACTAGAGCCAAAAAACCGGATGCTCTCACAGGCTAATTTGTGGTACGTTAAAACTTAACTAAATTTAATAATCCGGCAAGTCAAAGCAGAAGCTGTTTGATTGACCAATAAGTCATCAACATTTCTTAACCAAGACAATTCTTTATTATATGGCGAAATCCGCGAGCGGGCATAATAAAGCGAATCCTGTGATCTGATTGGCTATCCGAGCCGGCAAGATGGGCCGATCGTGGCCGCTCGGAGTTTCCCGCGTTGGTTTCGCAGGAGAAACTTTCTTTTTGGCTATGTGATAAATCCTGTATTGACTGATGAGACTAAGCCTGTTCGGTCCAGAGAGCTTGGTATTTGCCTCGTTGTTTCTTACGTTTTTAAAGAACTCGTCTTCTTGTCGTTCCATAAAACAGAAAAAAAAAAATGAACCAGGTCAATATCCAGCCATATTTGACCTCACCCCTGGTCAATGACGCACATGCAAATCTCTTGTCAAGTCCGAGCTTGACAAGAGAGGGGTCCTTGGGCGACTCTCATTAGAGAGGTTAAGCATCACGTTTACGTGTGGTTTACTGTTGATTATTTCTACGCATAAATTAGTAGTTTAGCGCAACTTTTTATCCATAAGATTTGTTTTGAGCTTTTTTTATCTGCACATTTTCTATTTTGCGAAATAGTCAACTTGAATCAGACGTTTGCCGTTTGCCGTATACGTGAAGCTTTTAAATCTTTCTATTAGGGCTTATCGTCGTTTACGCCGAAAACAAGAATCTCTTTTTAGTTTCCTCACTTTTTTCGAAACAAGAAAATAAAGTAGCCCCTTCTCACGCATAATAGTCGCTAGAACGGATTAAAAATCCAAATTTCCGAAAATCGTATAGAAGTTAACAGAATAACTCCCAAAAATCTCGCTCATTATCAATTATGTTCGGCTCATGTGAATTCCGTTCTTGACTTGCGCCTGAATGGAATAGTTATCTACATATTTATATCCGTCCTCCAGCTATGAAAACTTCTAGGCGATAATCATTTCTTCCAACAGATATTTTACAGAGAGGGGTCGTTTGTTCTATTCGCGCTGGACTTTTGTCCCTGTGACTGGAACATTTGGCAACGAACCGGATATTTTTTCTCGAGCACATTTCTAGTTTCCGTCGCAACTTTGGTATTCTAATTGACGAAGGAGTGTTTGAAGTAGTTAGCAAACATCTTGGCCATGCATTTTCGCGTCCGGTCGGGTTACAAATTGCTTCTCAGGTTGCTCTTACTAAAGGAAGAAAATTTCCATGAAAAATCGTTTAAGGGATCTTTATATCAATAAAAAAACTGTTCTTTTAGAAAAGTAGCATGATTCGCTTATATGATGAAGGAGATATAACTTTTGTTACCACTTTTATCTCACCCATAGAATTCATCTTCAGATTTGCAATTTACTCTAAATTTGTAATTAGAATGCAAATGTTGCGGCGTGTAAAGTTTACAGTTAACTTTTATCCAGCTGTACTTTAAAAAAAGATAATGTACATAATTCGGTAGACAAAACAAAACCGAACAATTCAACCGGTGAAAAAAGAAAGAAAGGTTATCAATTAACTGTCATCTTATCTTCTTAATTTTAATCTTCTTTTTTAAGAAAAACATTTTGCGGCCGCGTGGAAGACAAAACGAAACTTTGCTGTGACACATCTCTGAGTTTTAAGTGAAGTTCTTGATAGTTTTACTTCTCTTAAATTAACCTTGTAGGTTCATTATTTTAATGGACAAGAGCTGTCTATTTATAGCGTTGATAATGTAAAACAGATAGATCTCCAAACATAACGCAGTTAGATAGACAGTTTATAAAAAGAGTCGAAACTCAGCTGCATAAAAAAAACGGAAGTGCGTGAAAAGTTAAGCCAAGCCCGTTTGACGTTTTGCCGATAAATTTATACTGTATAGAAACTGAAAGAGGAAAGAAATGTCTGTCAGGAGTTTTATTCCAAATTTATTTTCCTTGCGCCGTCATTCCCTTTTCACCCTGATATAGCGTGCATGTGGTTTCAAAAAGACACGCGAAGAGTTTGTTCTCATTCATTGGCTCTTTTAAGTCAACAGATCCCGATATGCAAATTACTGTGTGAAATATGGTTTCCTCTCGAAAAACTAGAACACCCACTTGAAGCAAGCTTGCAGTGCAGATAATCTTGAAGGAAGTTGTAAATTTGCGGTCAAGACTCGAGCTTCGAAAACTCTTACAGCTTAGTTGCAGTAGGGCATTTCCAGGCATGGCGAAGCGATCAACGATCTCCGTATTCTTTCTGTTGAACGTGATCGTGTTTATGTTGCCATCTATTTTAATAGCTCAGAGATGCGATCGGCAAGTTTACAGCAACATATGGCATCGTTGCACAGAATGTAACATAAATGTTCTCCAAGGTTGCCCGATAGGTTATCAACAAGTTACGAGCGGCGAAGGAGTTCAACGCTGTACAATTTTCTTAAATTTTGGACCGAACTTGGGCAGAATTTCTGTCCCTGGCTGTCAACATTTGTGCAGGCGAACTCTTATACTAAAAGAATGCTGCAGTGGGTTTTGGGGACAAGACTGTCAAGGTATTTTGCAATGAAATTTATCAGTTAAATCTTATAACTCGAATACACAAATCACTCTGGTTGTTCAATGTCTTCATTGTTGCGCTGTTATAGATTATGTAAACACAGACAGTTTTCTTGAATTTAAATTTCATTCAGCCTGCATTTTTATTTCCAAACCCAAGCGAAGTGTATATATTGGCTACGAAATTTCATCTTAAGTGTTTATAATAAAGCTGAGATATTTCACAAAGACGGGAATTTTTCGGGAAATTTTGGCGCCAAGGGATCACATGACATGAATCTTCCGGGAAATTTGTTACAATCGAGATATTTGAATTTTCTATTATGTTATATTTTATGCCATTAAAGTTGTGCACGTTCTCTCTCACTGGAAAGGTCAATCTAATGTTTCAAACAGCGACAAAGCCTATATTTTCAGTGAAGAAGATAGAATATATTTAACGAGTGTGTATGGACAAGCGTGAAGTCAAAATTTTCTGTCTTTGAAACGGCTGTGTTTTCGACTCTCCGCTGTGAAATTCTCGCACTAAGCAGTTTAATTTTTTAATTTTTAAATACATTTTATGGCAGCTACAGTGAACATGAATAGGAAAGAAAAATCTCTGCAAAATCTAGACAATATCAATACAGTAGCATGGGAACTTTGTCATGAACACTCTTCTCATACTTATATGCGCCGTATCTTTTTCACACGATATATTTTCGTGCTTTTAAAAAATTAACACGCATCATTTCGCATGTTCTGCTTTTAATATTTAGCAATTTTGTCTTGGCAAGATTAAACACAGCAGTCACTTATTTTTGATGTTATATTGTCCTGGAATAAGACAATCTCATAAGAGAAAAAAAGTTCAGGTAATTTTCTCCAAGCATGTTTAAAAATTCCAAGCGTACGGCGAATTCAAAGCTTTTTTAGACTTCCTCTTCAAAGTCGCCTTTTCTCATTACGTAGTTCGCGCTTATAATTTGACTTCGGAATCCGCAGAACTAAACTGAACACATTAAGAGCTAGTTATTAAAAATAACAAATGTACGCCATCGTGCACCATGAAATTTATAGACGACAACTTTTAGTTTGTTGTAGACGTTTATAATGGGTTCAACTGGAAGTAACTGTGTGAATTAATCTGGTTTGTTTATGTTTTCATCGTTTTTCAATTACAAGGAGGCTGTTACAGTTTTGCATCACAAACAGTCCATAGAAACCTAAAATGATTTTTTAGCAAGATAAGTATCAGTCAATCATGGAAAAATAATATCCGGTGGTCATATGAAAATTAACTTTTTAGCCCGAAATTTAGATGACAATACACATTACGTAAAGGCGGATAATTTTAGAAGCAAAACCTTTAATTTCGTACAGCAGATATATTGTGTTGAGGCTTTAATGATGCTGTGGTTTAACGAAGAATGTGAACAATATAAGAGGAAAAGAAACCATAATCTTGTTAAGGCTATTTTTAAAAGAAAAACACTTGGAAAAAAAATGACTTCAAAATTCGAAAGAAACTAAAAATTGACTCATAGTCATGTACCCTCAAGTTGTATTAAAGCAAAGAATAAAACCAATTAATCATCTCATTTGCTGGTATAATGAGCAGGACAATATCTGATTATGACTGTTAAATATGTCATACGAACTTGAAGAATTAATTGCTGGAAGAGAAAAAATACTGAGTTTTAATACTCAATACAAAGAACACAAATTAATGTAGCCGGGTAATATCTGGCTATGACTGTTTGATCACAACTGATTAAAGTATGTTGTACTAATTTGCAAATTATTGAACAATTAATTTATTCCAGAGAAAAAGGTACTGATTTTTAAAATTTAGTGGATTTAGGAAATGGGCAAATAAAAGCAAGGGAGAGTGGAGAGGGGCGAGACAGGGGAGGGGAGAGGGAATGATTTGACTGTTTTTTGCCTGTTGTTACCAGGGAATCCTCAAAATGATTCTTTAAACTTAAAAACCTTTAAGTAGTGATTAACATCAATTTTCTCCTGATTTCAATAGACTATTAAGAGGAAAGGTTATTAGATTTCTGACATGATCTGGGAGGCTAGGGAAATGCTACTAATCTTTTATCAAATTCTCTCAACTAAGTATCTCATGAGGCAATGTGTGTAACTGGAGAATTTGTATGTGGATTTTGGGGCTTAAAGAGTTAACATTGTTTTGTCTGTGAATCATAGCATGTCCTGGTAGTCCCTCATGCAGTGGGCGTGGCTCCTGCAGTGACAAGGTGACTGGTAATGGAACCTGCACTTGCCAGGTAAGAGTCGCAGTTCACCCAAGTTCTTACAGTAGTGTACACAGGCCTATAGCTACAATCAGGGACAAAAGTAGTTGACACACTTGTTTAAAACGAGTGCTTTTAGCAAACATTTAATTCATCTATTATTTCATTCTTTTTAAAAGCCGTGAATCCCCTCATCCCCCGAATCAATGTTGTCTGAAGTAAAAAAAGACTTGAGGGTCCAAAATTCAACATTGATTTTGGGGGGGAAGGGGTTGGGGTAGTAAGGGAAGGGGATAAGTATATCCACTATGCAAAAAGGGGCCATTTTACGGAAGTGTGTCAACACTTTTGTCCCCCATTGTAGTCTAGAGGCAGCTGAAGCGGTTGTCTAGTTATGGATGTTGATTTAAGTTCCTTTTGTGTGCCATATCCTTCCTTCATAGTACAGGTCACCATTATTCACTCACTTAGTTAGCAATGATTCTTTACTTTGTACCTTGACTCATCAGGATGGTTTCAAAGGATTTGCCTGTGAGCTGTGTAAAGACGCAAACAAATTTGGCAGCTACTGCAATGAAAGTGAGTGTTAATTCATGAAAGAAGTACATGATAAAATTCTCAGTGCCTGACTCGCTGTGTATTTGGCAAATTAGCCAGGTTTTTTGTAAGTTACCCATTTAAAAATTTCCTAAACAAACAACAACAAAAAATAGAAACCAAGTTAATTAACTTGGTTCAAAGAATCAAGGATTTTTATAAAATGTTTTTAAACTGAAGATGTTTTTTTACTTGAAACATTTTAAGTGTCATTAACTATATTAAGACTTTAATTACCCGTAAGCTCTTAATGATAAAAATAAATTCACCTTCTCCATGTGCAAATTAATCAACAGAATTGAGTGCTGTCTTTTCCTCCTTGGCTTTTGTGACTCAGCTAATTAATCATGACAAAGCATTCCAGTAATTTTCCCACTAACATAAGGACTGATATCAAACAAAAATTTTAAAACTACTGACTTTAATATTGCTATATTGTCATATTATTACAAACTTATTAATGTCTTGATTATACATGTCTTTTGTTAAATGATCTCTTTCTTATCTTTTTATAATTAGTAATTCATATTAGAATTAACTGAATTATACTACTACATGAGAAATTTCTGCAATTTGATTGGCTTAGAGCAGTGGTATTTCAGCTTAATTTGAAATACCTACATGTGAAATTTACAAACCTTTTGTGGGTAAAGTATAAACAAATAATAGCACGATTTGTGCATGATATTTGGCATAAATACCACTCGTGAGATTTGAAAATTATCTCAAATTTCACACGTCTAACGGCTCTTGAAATTACGTATAACAATTTTGAAATATCACTCGTGGTATTTATGCCAAATATCACTACTAATCATGCTATTACCTATACTAACTCAATTTTAATTTTATAATATTAGTGCAACACTGTGCCAAAGAAATTTCATTTTGATATGATTTGCTGTGGAATCCCAATATAAAAATGTGCCAGCTGATTGAAATTACATTCATTTTAATTGGAAGGAGGGCGGGGGCCTTTTATCAGGGTTTTAACCTATACACTGTATTAAAACTGGGGCAAAGCACATCATTTTGTTATACCATGGCATTTAAATGTTATATATAAATCTAGATCTTTCATGCCTTTTAACCCCCAAAAGTGTTTTATATTATCTAATTTTAAGTGGTAAATGAAGACTGCCCAATAACCATGAGTCAGTGACTCAGGATGTTTTGATAATTATTTGTCCATTAAAGATAACCTATTTACTACTTGGAGGTGGTTCAAGCTTGTACACTGAACCTCTTGTCCTATTTTCAATTCACTACTTTTGCATAGACCATAATGCTTCTTGTTTACCCCCTCCACCCCACCTGCCCCCCAAATTTTGCATAACCATTGTTTCCAATTTCTCCTGGGTATAACAGTGGTCCCAAGAGAAATCCAAGACAATGGTTATGCAAAATTTTTTGGGGGGTGGGGGTGGGTAAACAAGGTGCATTATAATGGTCTATGTGAAAATGGTGAACAGCCTTGTCAGGGGTGGATCCAGAAAATACCAAGAGAGGGTGGGGCATCGGGAGACTTGCCAGCTATAATATTAGACTTTTATCTGTTAACAGGTCTTACTAACCTTTTATTGGTGAAAGAACTCTGAGAGCACGGTCTGTGTCCAAGAGGAAATAGACAGCTGTAGATGAAATGCGGGGAGGGGGGTGCAGGGCGGGTAAGGGTGTCTTCCTTGGCCCCCCTTTATCTACCAATACATTTTTCTTGTGGCATGAGTTCTTTTATTAGGTTACCTGAGGTACAACATTACATTATCTTTGTTATTTACATGAGTGAGTAATTATGATATCTAAATCATGTCCTCCTTTCTCCTTGGCAGCTTGTCACTGTGTTCATGGACAGTGTGACAGTGGGTTACGTGGCACAGGACACTGCAGACCAGACAGCTGTCACCTGGGACATCAAGGACAGGACTGTAACATAGGTAAGTGTAAAAGCTGGGATACCTGTGACATTTGGCAGTGCACAAGAGACCTGTATTATCTAAAATTAATACTTTGATTGAGGTTCTCAAGGAAAAGATTGGTCAAGTTTATTATGGTGAAGAGACGATCCAAGTAGCGGATGATGAGTTTTATCTATGTTGATTCCCAAAGGTTCATTAGTTATAAAAGAACATTGCATTATGACAGTCCAAAGGACTGTATGAGAAGTATCAGTGCCAAAGGGCCAAAGGGAAAACACTTCATTGTTACATTCTGACTTGACGTAGGATGAGAAGCGTTAGACTGCAATACAGCCCGTATTTTGGTCTAGGTTAAGAAAGCGCACTCGGGCAGTCAAAGGAAAGGTCCGGAGTGAGGGTGAAAACGGAGAGTGATACTAAGGACAGACACAAAAAATACTCTTACCACTACGGGCGTGTTAAGCCCACGCTCTTTGCGCGAAAATATCACACCGGCGCTTTGCGTCTTGTAGTCGAGAGAAGTGTGTTCTATGAGAATATAGATTATCTAAAGGGGGATAAAGAAAAAAAAGGTGGTCATTATCAACTAAAAAACGTAATGAGTAACAATTTGCTTTCCAGCCCTGCCGAACTGTACCAGTCCACTGCCATGTCCAGTGAATGCAGGTTGCTTCAAGATCAATAACACAGACTCATGTGTATGTGATCCAGGATACAGAAACATCAGCAATACTTGCAATGGTGAGTTACAGTAAACTACTAGGAATGAAGTAGATCATTAATTCTTGCTTCCCCTGCATCCTCCTCCTCTGAAACTGTCTTATTTGTCTCTACTTTCCTCTTCGTTTCTTCTATGTTTCATTCCACTTTTCTTTATCTCTCATCTCTTCTCAGTTTGCTGCCTTACTCTTACTTCCTTTTGTGTTTCATTCCACTGTTCGTTATCTCTCATCTCTCCTCATTTGTCTACCTCACTCTTATTTCTTTTGGCTTTCGTTCTACTGTTCTACATCCTCTCTCCTCCTAGACTGCGTTGCAGAGGTAATTTAACCCCGGTAAGTAATGTCTGCGAAGCAGTGCTGAGATCCTTGGTCGGGGCACCCAACGGGCTCAACAAATTACCGAAAATGCGTTTCAAATTTCCCTTCAACCTACTTGGCAAATCGACAATGGCATTTTAAACAGGCCAATCATGACACGCGCTCAAATCCTGGTACACAGCTGGGGACCTAGAACAAGGATTTCGGCGCTGTTTAACAGACGGTCTTAACCAGAGTTTAGTTTCGTCTGTAGCGTAAGCCACTGTCTTTCTTTCACTTCCGCTACTCTTTGCTCTTCTTCCTTCTACTTCCCTACTTTCTCTCTCCATTTATTTCCCTTCCTTCATAGCCCTCCATCGCTTGTCATTATTTTCTTTACAACTTCCTCTTCAACATCTTTCCTTCCTCTTCCTACCTCTTTAGTCTCTAGCCTTTTTTCCGGATATATTGAGGTTTTTTTGGGTAACTGCTCACCCACCCCTCCCCTAAGTCAACATTGGCACTTAATCCTTTCTAAGGGGAAAATTTTGTGTTAGGGGAGTGGTAGGTGATCAGTCTTCTCCCAAACCTCTAACTCTCTCTGCCCTCACTTCTCCTCCTTAAAAGACAGATGATGGCCTTGATGCAACCATGGTAACGCGAGAAATAAAATCGCGAAATCCTAAACCTTAGCTTCTTCACAACGTGCATTACAAAGATTTGTCTTTCTTGCTTTTGACGAAATTACACATTTTCTTTCTTTTCTTTTCTTTTTGCTTTTTACTTGTTACCCGGTGATATCTGTTTGTAATCTTCTACTTAATTAGTTTGGTACGCCACGACTAGCGTTTTGGCTAACTGCGTGCCAAGAAATTGAGAGCACTATAATAGTTTTCGTTGCTCGTTTTCCATCAAAACGTCGTTTTGTGAAGGAAATCGTTGCATATCAAATATTGTTTTGCGTGGTATATAAACGCTACAAGCGAGCTTGATCAACCACGCGGACGACAGAAACGAGAAAATAAAAAAAAGTTTTAATGCTCATGAAAGCAAAAATTCTGAACGCGCAGGACGCTTTTTCGCAAATTTCTCTGTCGTCTCTGCCCGACTTATGTCGTCAAACTTGATTATAATGGCTATGTGGTCGTTGCTTTAATCTCTAAGATGGTCGATCTTGGCGACTTCGATTTCGTCGGAAATACCCTTAGAGGGTCTACCGTGTCCCTTTAGCATCCTGTCTTTGCCAACTGAAGGTTTTTTTTCTTTTCCCATCTATCCTTTCTTTTTTCTCTTCTTCTCTCTTCATTCCTCCTTCCTGTCCTCTTTTCCGTCTCTTTATCTCAGTATTTCGTCTTCTTCCTTCTTTGGTCTTTTTGTTTTGTCAATTCCTTCACTTCCACTGCCTTTTTTTGTAAATCCCTTTGAACCTCTTACCTTCTCCTTTCCTCCTACCTCTTGTTTTCCTACCTCCTGTCTTCTCGCTTTCCCTTACTGTCTCAACTGCTGGGCTTCCGTTGCCCAGCGGATTTGCCTGTGTTTTTCGAGCATGCGCACTGTTGGCCTTGTCATTGTGCACAAGGCCACCGCGTAAAAACCTCAAGCTTGACTTACCCGTTTTTGTTTTCGGTTTTTATTCTTGTTAATCTCTTCATTTGCTGGAATTTAAAGTCTACATGGGATTGTAAAGCTTTTACGGCGCTTTTGAGTCTTTTCGGGACGCCTCGCCGGTAACGACTAATGTAGTTTTAATCTGATGGATGTCATTATGTGCCGCCGTTCACCGCAACGCACTGTCTCTGCCCTTGTCCCTATGGCTTTCCAGGGTCAGGTCTGTCGTCAAATGGCGCGAGTTTCGCGGGAATAAAAAAATTGGGGCAAGACTCACGCAATGCTCTAAACCGGTCAAGAACAGGAGAAAACCCGTTTTTTAATTTATTCGTCCAGATTTCTGGACGGATTTGAACGGTTGTAGGCAGAGGCTACTTCTCGCTCTACAGGTCACACAGCGAAAATAAAGCCTCTGCTCGCAGGGTAGCCGCTCAATCTTTATCAGAAACATCACTTTATTTTGATGAAAACGCGCTACGGGAGATGCGTTACTGGTTCACAATCCGAGTCGTCAACTTCTTCATCACATTACTGAAGTGAAGCCAAAGTAAGTGTATCAAGCACTCAATAGGGCCATTTATACGAGGAAAAATAAGACGCGTCTTACATAGGACGCGTCTTAAATAAGACGCGAACTTTCCGTATAAACAGCACATTTCGTCTAAAATAAGACGCAGCTTAGCTGAGACGCGTCTTATTTTAGAACAGCCCTTAACACCTGTTCTTAGATAAGACGCGTCTTAGCTAAGACGAGAAAAACTTCGTATAAATGACCTTCGCGTCTTCGTCTTGGCGCGCCACGTTGGATTGCCGTTACTACGGGCAAAAAACGAGTCAAGAACAGAAATATGACGCGAACCATTTGTACAAGCTGTTCTCGTCTTACATAAGACTTGCTCGTATAAATGGTACAGTTGGCGTCTTATTTAAGACTGAGACGCGTCTTATTTTTCCTCGTTTAAATGGCCCTATTGACTATTTAAAAGAGGTGTCAACAATGAGAGAACTCTCGTGCGGTGGCCGCTTAAGAGAATTAATTTCCCATTCTTTTCTACAATTATTTCGGGACTTTTGATTACTGGTTGCTTAATAGAGAGTGGTCACTTAATGGACGTTCAACTGTAATAAAGTTTTCTGTTTATGTGGTTCTTTAGCAATCAATCACTGTATCGATGGAAACCATGGATGTCATAGTAATGCTGACTGCTTCTATCTTGGACCTGGAAAACACAACTGCACATGTGCGTCTGGTTACACAGGAGATGGAACCGTCTGTGTTGGTAAGCCCTAAAGTAGTGGCAGCTTTTAAATTATCTTTAACTTAAGATTATGGAGATTTATTAAATTTGTAATTTGACTTCCGGCTTTTTCTAAGTCAGAATTGAAATGCGTGAGATTTTCGTAAGGTTATGACCAGGATTTCTGAAAACGTCCCAGCGACTTCCGAAGGTTTCGGAAGATTTTCCGTAAATTTCTGAACGTTACCAAAAATGCGCGAAGGTGTTCCGACGACCTTTGAGCACTTCCGAAGCTATTTAAGCCTTTCCTCCCATACCTACACCTACAATAGACTGGCACCGACAGTCCTATGTAGGATTCAAACTTAGAATTAAAGGGCAGTTATATTCAACTTACCAAGGACTTGACTAATATCCTTGTTATTGTATCTCTCTTGATTTCTTGACAGCAATTGACCCTTGTCAAAGAAATAACGGTGATTGCCCATCTAACTCAACTGTCTGTAACTTCCTGCAACCTGGAGAGGTAATGTGGTCATGCAGTGTCTAAGCTTAAGTGTACTTAGATTTTCCAGTGCAGTGATCTTCTAATGCACCGAAAGCTATACACTGATTTTGATATACTTCAAATTTTTCCCCGATGAAGACTGATACTTTCTGAATGACTCGTTTTCCTTTGCACTTCTGATAATTTATATAGAAATAGCGAACTATAAATAATTTAAATGTTGCTTTTTTTGTAAGTATGTCGTTTGTTAAAATTTCGATCTAAAATAAGAAAGTCGCTGCAAAGTTCAGCTTCATCAAATTTTGGTTTTGCACGCGAGCGTCCCATTTGAACTAGGCCTGAGTTTCCATTTCAACACATTACTAATGACAGTGGTGATATTCATTGTAGAGTAACTGCAGCTGTCTTCCTGGATTTCAAAACTATACGAGTGGGGCTGGTTGTGTGATGATTGATCTCTGTGAAAATGGAGGCGGGTGTGACGTCCATGCAAACTGTACAATGATAGGACCAGGAGTAAAGAGGTATGATCCTTGCTACATGCAGGCTAGTGTTTATAATTCATGCCTGTTCATACAGTTCTTTAAACTGGTCAAAATGGTCTTATTCTTTTATAGGTGTGACTGTAAAAATGGCTATCGAGGAAATGGAACCATTTGCTATGGCAACATTCTTCAGGTAAACAACATCTTTAATGAGAACACTGCTTGAATGCTTGATACACTAAGTGGCTCATACTTAATGTTACTCAACTACCAAATTAGCAACTCCCATGTGGTTTGACTTTGTAATAATGGGTATGTCAAGCTGGACTGGCTCACCTCCCTAGCTAAATTAAATAAAAATTGGGGTTCACATTGTCAAAAAGTCGTCTTTCTTAGCTATATCGAAAGGTAGTTTTTAGCCTGAAAGTTGGTCTGACCATAAAAAGTTAAGTGCAGATTTTAATAACGTAGAGGGTTAAGAGAAGTAATTATGATGTTCCAGTTTGAAAAAGTCGATAGTTTCAAATTGGGGCTCACTTGTCGATGCGTTGTCGTTCTTATCTTTATCAAAAGTTATTTCTTCTGTCTGAAAGTACGACTTTTCCATGAAAAGTAAAATGCAGTTTTACTATTGTGGAGGGTCAAGGGAAGTAATTGTGATGTAGCAGTAAGTTTGATGAATATCAGATGTGAATTACGAAGGGTCAGGCCTTTGTCGTCCAGTTGACAAGAGTTGTGCCCCACATTCTCGCTTCATATCAGGTTGTAAAATAAAACAGAGTGCTGATGAGAAACCTGTGGCTGGCTAGCATAGGCAGGGGGTAGCTACATTGCTACTTCACACAGGAAAACCACACTGGCATGGGTTCTAGCTTTTGAGGATCGTTTGGGTTGACAAGCGTTAGTTATGATTGGTCGATGGAAGGCGAGCATTAACCAATCATAACTAACGCTTTTCTACCCAAACGATCCCAAAAATCTTTGCGCCGAAAGCTTGCACCCATTTCCCTTGCAGTTTCAGGAGTGGGGAATGTGGGCTGCCTGCAGTCCTTGTGGGCTGCCTGTGGTCCTTGTGGGCTGCCTGTGGTCCTTGTGGAGTTACCCAGCCTGGCCTGTAAGGACTGTCATGTACCTTTTGTGTCCAATCTGATGTTATGTTGTTGCAGAGGGTAAAAGAGCTGAACCTTCAAGGCCCAAATGGACTCAAGGGACAACTGAATACTGCCATTGATTTGCTGACTGGTTCTTTTGTTCACCAAGCCCTTGCTGGTGCAGGGCCATTTACTCTGTTCCTGATGGTGGACGATGCTTTTGCAAACCTTACCCAGGAACAGGTAAAGTAGACTAGTAGTATCCAAAGGTTATGGAATGCGGGCGACAACAATCGAAGTTCAAAACGCTTTTGCTCCAGGGCTGTGCTTTGCGAAAGTTTCAGGTAACAGATGGTCGCAATAGGCGTGATCAGTTTACGAGTGATAGAAAGTCCAAAGGCGCGTGATCAAAGTGCGTTCTGTGCATTCCATACATTCTTAGTGGAAGTCCAAACGAATGCTGGCCACATACATGCGACACATGCGTAATAACAACCTGGAGATTAGGATTGCGGGCGACAAGAGGAGCCTGCAAAAATAGACTATATAGGTACATTACTACTGGAAAGAAGGACAACGAAATAGATTTAACAGAAAATAGAACAACGCGTCGGATTTGCCAACAATACAATAGAGGACACTTTTGCATATGGAGAATCACTCCATTTCGTAAAGTGTAATCGGCCATATAAATTTGTGCATGTGTGAGGCTGGGGGTACCATTGAAACAAACCACTTGGGAGGAGATCTTGTGTATTAACATTTAACTATAAAATTTGACGTGGTGAGAAAACGACCCGCTACAATGTATATCCAAATAAGCGGAACAGACTAAAAAGAGTAGAAAAATTGCATTGCCTCAGTTCACAGATCCTTTTTTATGAAGCTTCTCAAACGGAATATCGCGAACCATTTTATTATTTTCAACTGGAATTTCCGGTTTTCCCATGTAAATGTTAAGTACACTGGGTTCGTGTGTGTCCAGTTGCTTTCTGTGAGAGTTTGAGAGAGGGTCAGTGTAAAACTCAGACTGGGGACCAGGGGTAAAATGCAGAATACAGACTATGAGTAAAACGCAGGCTGCGTGCAAAATGCAGAATGAGGACTGCAGACTTTTTAAACTCAGTCTGCTGTTCGCACTCCGCAGTCCTCGTTTTACACTGACCTGTTTGAGAGATGCTATCGCTTCAATTGGCCATTTGGAGGTTGCGTGGGATCGTGGGAAACTGGGTTAAAGTAGCCTCAAATCACAGCCCCTTTTTTATGATATTTCTCAAACAAAATGGCGCGAACCATTTTATTATTTTCATTTGAAATTTCCGGTTTTCCCATGTAAATGTTAAGTACACTGGGTTCGTGTGTGTCCAGATGCTTTTTGGGAGAGTTTGAGAGACGGTCAGTGTAAAACGCAGACTGGGGACCAGGCATAAAATGCAGACTGCAGACTATGAGTAAAACGCAGGCTGAGTGCAAAATGAAGAATGAGGACTGCAGACTTTTTACAGTCAGTCCGCAGTCCGCAGTCCGCAGTCCGCAGTCCGCAGTCCGCAGTCCGCAGTCTGCAGTCCTCGTTTTACACTGACCTGTTTGAGAGATGCTATCGCTTCAATTGGGCATTTGGAGGTTGCATGGGATTGTGGGCAACTGGGTGAAAGTTCGTCCCCTCAAACAAATTCAAACTGCAACTGGACGCTGCATCCAGCCAGGCTCCCGTTGAAACATGAAATTTCCAGTGTTACTCTTGAATGACACTCATTTATTTGTTGAATTTGTAGAAGGCTGAGCTGACTGCCAATTTAGATATGGCTTCGCATTTCGTCAGTAGACATTTGATCGCTGGCGATTTCGATTCATTTGCTTTGAAAAAGTATGGAAGAGTCGCAACACTCGAAGGAATTAATGCAACCATCGCAGAATATCAGGTAATGGTCGACTCACCTAAGGGTAGCCGTTATTGAGTTTTTTGCTTTTGCTTATAAGCGCTGGGCTTAAAAATCTTCGTAGGGGGTTTTAAGAGGACCTATAAACGGAGGGGCTTAAATCTGAGGGGGTCTATAACAGGTAGATGGGCGTTTAACTTGGGGGCTCATAAGTTGAGGGGCTTATCAGCGGCACTTTACTATATATGGCTTTCTCGTTTGTTATTTTTTACCCTTGAGAAAACAGCTTTATCACCTATAAGAACGCCTCAAGATAAGTCTTTTTTTTTCCAAATTAGTGAATAAAGCGATGTTGCTACACGTTTTTTTTCAGACGTTTTGTAAAGAGTTCTGTAAAAACCACGTTACTTGCATTATTCTTCTTGTTGATAAACACCACATTTCTCGAAAGCTTTGCGATGTTTTTTTTTTCTAGTAGTAAAGATTTTTTAAGCCAAGTGAACGCTTATAAAATCGTGATGTGACTGATGGCTGTTTGAAATAGCTTAAGGCTGTTGGTTTATTCAAAATTGATTAACGATCGTCTATATCAGAATAGACTTCTGTGTTGCTCAAGTCTCATTTTGTTTGGAAGTTGATGTGATATTTTTTTTACAAACAGAATGTGACGTACTTCAGGCTGGATGGGCATTATATCAATGCATCTGTGCTGTTGAGCGATTTGTTGGCTGGTAATGGTATGATTCATGTGATTGACAAGATAATGTGGCACGTCGGAGACTATCAAGAAACACGTTCTGTAAGTTACGATAATTAAAGATTTGCCGTTTTATTATTAGTCGGTTGTTTTGCTGTTTAGAGCCTGAAATGAAACATCAATCGTTTCTCACAATCCGGAATTTCTCGTTACTTGTAAATGACCAGTAGACTGCCTTGGTCAACCTACGAACCCTAACCGGGCGCGTAACACGATTGTAACATTTTTTCTGTTTAGTTGAGTTTTATGTACATGGGAAACGTTTTTCTCTCTTCCAGAAATCATCACTTCAGGTTCTCTTCAGTCAGAGCAGATTCAAAGTCTTTGCGTCACTCTTACAGGTATGAATTAGAAAAACAATTTGATGAGAATCAACCACAAGGTATCTACAGAATTTTTTTAGTTCCAGGTGGGGTTGAACCCCGGGGGATACTCCCGAACATGTGGGATAGGGGTGTGCCGCGGTGGGTCTTACACCCTGACCCTATTTAAGGACGAGACAAACGAAAACTGATCCCCTTAGTATGACCCAAACCTGAAAAATGAAACCCATTTTAAGGAAAAAACAAAACCTAAAAATTTAACGGAAAAAAAAATCTTCAAAAAATCGCTTTCCTAATACTCTAAGGTAAAGTTCAGCTTTAACAGATGATTTGTTTCTCGTGTCGATGGGCATTTACTCGCTTGAATTTTAGCTGATATAATAACGGTACTCTTTTTAAGGATCACACCGTGATTACAACGCTAACAAGGCCAAAAATGATTCCCTTATTAAGGATGGAGACCCTCAAAAACTATACCTTATTGGGTGGCACATACCTATCTCAGTGGCCGATCCAGACCTTCAGATGCGAGGGGGGTGGGGGGCAGTCATCCAGACCCTTTGATAAGGGAGGCCTGGTGTCAAAATTTTTTTTTTTCGGACCTTCGGGCCTCAGGTTGGTCTAAGGAAGGGGGTGAAGAGTGGCTGTGGCGAACCGCCGGTCTCGGGGTTGGGGGGGGGGGTGGTGGGCTGCAATCAGCCGTTTTTTGGGGGGGGGTGGTTGGTTGATGTTTTTTTGTTGCGGGGGGGGGCGGGGGGGGTGGTGGGGGGGGTGGGGGGGGGGGGGGGGGGGGGGGGGGCTCCCCTGGATCCACCTCTGTATCTAGCCCATATATGGGAGTACCCCGGGATTTGAACGTACGACCTCCTGCACTTTAGACAGATTCTCTAGCCATTGAGCTACTGGAGACCCTGGAGATCAATGGTATTTCTAGGGATTATGACAAAGGAGCTGCATCACGCAGTCAAACAACAACACATTAATTGCTTAAGTGCATCGCACAGTCACATTAATGAACAGTAACAGCGCAGTAGGAAACTATTGTTTAGCGGTCACTCAAGCAATTCACTGCAGAGAGTTCAGTATGCGCAAATACCCAATGCCAAATTGCCAATGACTGATTGCCAAAGCAGCCTTTATCGAATGAAGTAAATAGCTGATTTAATGAAGGTTGCTTTAGGCATTGGCCAATTGCTCACAAGGAAGCTATTGTTTAGCGGTCACTCAAGCAATTCATTGCCGTGAGTTCCCGTATGCGCAAATACCCAATGCCCAGTTGACCAAGCAACCTTTATTAAATTAAGTAAATCATAACTGATTCAATAAATGTTCCTTTGGGCATTAGGAATTGAGCACTAGGAAGCAACTAGGACCCAAGCAATTCATTGCAGTGAGCTCCTTATGCTCAAATACTCAATGCCCAATTACCAACGACCAATTGTCAATTAACCTTTATTGAATTAGGAATATACGAATCCCTTATGTTTTGTTGTTTTAGTCTTCGGGAATTGCTTCAGAGTTATCTGGTCTGGGTGCCCAGTTTACCCTGTTAGCACCAGTAAATTCCGCTTTCAAGGCGATCGACAACAGCACTATGAGATTCTTAACCGACACTGATGCGGTAAGTATTGCAGTTTGGGAAGCTTAACAAGATTACGAAGCTGGTTGATTATAAAGCTTGTAGTGGAATTATAAACCCTATACACGACCCCTCAAGCTACCAAGCTTTAAATGTCATCGTGTATAAGTAACTGTTTTGACTGATTTGTGTAAATGAAAACAAAAGTAATCGTCTTTATTTTACGCGGAAGGCACTTTTAAAACAATCTCTCCAGGTTTACAAACCCGTTGCCCTCCTTTATGGAATTGAAAGTCGACAACTGAGGAAGTAATTTGTGAGTTTTTTGTTAAGTAGTTTTTTTAGTCATGTCGTTTTTGGTGCTGAATTTTTTTCTTAAATTCAGTTCATTACAAAAGCTTTCTGGGGCTTGCAAAAAATCACTGGTGCGTTTAATAAACCGTGTGTTATAAATTCCTGATTCCAGTCATGCACGTTTACAATTACACTGCTGCATTTTACCATGCTGTCTTCAAGCTGCACGGGCGTGCTTTAGGTTTACTTCGTTAAGTGGCGTTAGAAAAACGAACCTATGCCTAAACTAAGTGAAGCATTTTACTTGGAATTTGATTGATGTATTCGCCATTGCGTAAGTGTGTCTTGTTGCTCCCTTCTTTGAAAATAATTTTTATACAGAGCGTTTTCACTCACGTGGCCAGCAACTATGCAAATTTATTGAAACAAAAGAAAGCGTTTGCATAAGAAAAGAGTTCAACTCCCACAGGACTGGTTTGGGACACCAACATGGCCGCCGTTTCATTGTTTTGGAACACCAATATGGCCGCCGTGACGTCATGTGAAAACACTCTATACGCTGCTATAAGTAGTAGTCAGCGGTCAGCGATGGCGGTCGGTCAACTAATTTTTAGCTCCGTTCTTATGTTCACTTTCCTCGTGTTTTTACTGTTCAGCTGCTTGAACAATCTAAGCCACTACTCTAATTGGCGGTTTTCCTCAATTGGGCATGGATTTGACACACCGGGAAGCGCCCCAGAACCTTCTTCGATGTCTTATCTCGATCCTAGTAGTTTTTGCCGAATCCGCCATTTTGGATTGAAATCATGGTACATAAGAATGAAGCGAAGGCGGTTTCTCCGAAGACGGCTTCTGTACTCAGCTAACGGAACAGCGTCATTTAACCCATCTCTCCTGGAAAACAATCTTAGCGGCGACATTCATCCACATCCTGGACCAAACTCTACTTCTAATTCTTCATCTACATCGACGAACACAAATATTAGCTTTCCTTGCAACACGAAGTCAAACATCAGGATTGCTCATTTAAATATCCGCTCCTTGAAGTCCAGGGAACACTTCACTCTGCTAAAGGATTCCGTTGTCTCAAATAATTTCGACATCTTTACGATATCAGAGACATGGCTGGATTCTTCAGTCAACAACGAGAGCATTCATATTCCAGGCTACACTTTGTATAGACAAGACCGTGGCCCGCACAAACCTGGCGGCGGACTATGTGTTTACATTAAGAAAAACTACAAAGTTTCATCACTGGAGAATGTATCCTCAGTTTCTGATAATAACTTTCAGCAATTGTGGCTAAAAGTGCAAAGTCGCTGTTATAAGTCATTCGTCATCTGCACAGTATATCGACCACCGAGTACTCCATTAAATTTTATAGATGATCTTGCCAACAGTCTTATCGAATCCCTCCTGTCAGGTCTTGATGTCATTATATTGGGTGACCTCAATTGCAACCTCCTTCAAGATAACGCAGAATCCCGTGCTTTAAACGATTTTTGCTCGACTTTTAACCTCACCCAATTAATCAATAAACCAACCAGAGCCACGGAGAATGGGGAATCGTTAATCGATGTTGTGATGACCACGAATGAGAAACTAATTGCTTCAAACGACGTCCTTATGTCAACTATTAGCGATCACAATCTTGTTTACATCTCGCTGAAGTTAAAAAAGCCAAGGATCAAGCCCTGTTACGTCACTATTAGAAGCTATACTAATTACAGCGCCGACAATTTCCTACGTGATTTGTCATATGCGCCTTTTCACATAATAAGCCTATTTGACGATTTCAACGATCAAGTTGATGTATTCAACGAACTGTTCTTGGAAGTACTAAGTCAACATGCTCCAGTCAAGAGGGTTAAAATTAGATCTAAACCTAACCCCTTTATAACACCAGAAATTCGTCAACTAATGAGAACGCGCGACCAATGGCGCAAACTTGCGGGAAAAACAAATGACCCTTTCCACTGGAACGGATACAGATTTTTTCGTCAAGAAGTGAAAAGGGAGATTCGTGTGGCCGAAAAAGTTCACGTCAGGACTCAGATCCTGGATAGCAATGGAAATTCTAACTCAATTTGGAAAATCATTAACCGGTGTCTACCACGTAAACAACAAGATAGTTTTATGGCTTCTGAGGATCCCACTGGGTTAGCTAACGAATTAAATGATTTCTTCACTTCCGTCGGCAGTATTACTGCTCAAAAAGCCAGGGACTTATCTTTACATCATGGACTTAATGTAAATTTGGATGTGCCGACTCCTTTACACATATCCACCGACGTTAGCCCCGAATTATTCGTTCTCCATCAAGTCACGGAAAATCAGGTAGAAAGGGTGATTAGAAGCCTACCATCTAACAAAGCTCCTGGAATGGACAAGATATCTTCTAGAATTCTTAAAGACAGTTTACCCAGTACGCTAACAACAATTACCCACATTGTGAATAACTCCTTTGTTACCAACACATTTGCACGTGCATGGAAAACAGCAGAGGTTACACCTATTCTCAAATGCGGTAATCCAGATGTCCCTAACAACTATCGCCCCATCTCATTATTACCAATAGTCTCAAAAGTCACTGAAAGGTTGGTACATGGACAACTTATGGAGCATCTAATTAGAAATAATAAACTGGCAGCACATCAGAGCGGAAATAGAAAGCTTCACTCGACAGAAACAGCTCTGTTGTACGTTACAGATCAGTTGCTCCAGGCTATGGATAACAAGAAAGTTTCCATCATGGTCTTATTAGATATGTCTAAAGCATTTGATAGTATTCGACACGACATCTTGTTATCCAAGCTACAAAATCTCGATTTTTCCCAGGGTGCGTTGGATTGGTTTCAGAGTTACCTTTCTAACCGACAACAGTGCGTTCGAATTGGTGACGCAGTTTCTAAAGTACTCCCACTTGAGTTCGGAGTTCCGCAAGGCTCTATTTTAGGTCCGGTTTTGTTTACAATCTATGTTAACGACCTCCTTTCTGTTCCTAAACGTTGTCTATCTGCCTCCTATGTTGATGATTGTAAATTGTATTTGTCCTTTTCACCTGCCGAATTACCCACGTCCATCCTCGCCTTAAACGAAGATCTTACGAGAATATCTCAGTGGTGCTGTAAAAACTCTCTTTTGATTAATCCGGACAAAACTAAGGTTCTAGCTGTTGGATTACCACAACTTTTAAAGAAACTGTCATCATTCAGTATAACACTTTTTGACAAGGAAATAACACCTGTGCCTGTCGTTAAGGACTTGGGTGTTCTTCTCGACACACGCCTCAGTTATAACCAACATATCACTGAGATTGCCTCTAAATGCCTTTTTAAATTGTACCAAATTAACAGAATCAAGCACCTCCTGGATAGGAAAACACTTCTGTTAGTAATAAATTCATTTGTCTTTAGTAAACTCCAATATTGTTCAACTGTCTGGAGTAATACCAGCAGCAGCAATATTGACAAGTTACAAAAAGTCCAAAACTTTGCTGGGCGAATTATTCTGGGACTAAGAAAGTATGACCATATTTCGGATGGGTTGCGATCATTGAAATGGCTTCCTATTAGAGAGAAACTCATTCTAAATGACGCTACTATGATGCACAAATGTATTAACAAGCTTGTTCCAGACTATCTTGCTGATATGTTTAAATCACGTTCTCAAGTCCATAATAGACAAACTCGATCATCTGGTGCTTTGGATATACCTTTATGTCGCCTGTCAACAGGGCAGCGCTCCTTTGCTTTCAGAGGAGCCAAACTCTGGAACTCCTTGAATGATAACATTAAGTCCTTAAAATGCCCCAGGAATTTTAGACGTCATCTTGCAAATGTTTTATTAAGTTGATATATTATATTATTGATATATATTTTGTAATTATAATATTATTGTATTTACATTCTCAATTAATTTATATATTTGTATTTTTTTTATTCTATTGAGCTGAAAAGCCCACTTAGGGAGCATCAATAAAGTGTATGTATGTATGTATGTATAAGTAATTTCTTGTTGCCACGTGATCACCTGGATCAGACTGCTCGAGTGAAGTCGACAAGTGGTGTTTTTTAATCGCACACTGTTGTCTTTCTTATAGGGAAGAAGAAAGATGAAATCCCTTTTGAGAAACCACATCCTTACTGGAAAGGTATACTTGAAGGCTACGATGAAATAGATTATTTTTTAATGCAAGGCTCCCAGACGTTGCTGAATTAAAGGAGCTTGGCTACGGCTGTCTAGTTCATTTTGTTAATAATGCCAATTATTATTCATTCAAAAATATTTCGCCGTTTCTGATTGGCTAAAATCCCACGTATAATTCATCAATATCAGCTATTGTTGACCAAATTTGGAAGAATTTTGCGATATTTAACTGATGACGTCAATCGTGCAGGAAAATTGAGAGATTATTGAACCATTAACCGAGAGACCTGGGGACGAGTTAAAGTTGTTTTGGTAGTGAGTACAAAATGGCGGAACATTTTACTCGTTTCACGGCGAACTATTGTCTAAAAAACATAGCAAGAACAGAAAGAAAACAGCTCGAAAGACGACATCTGCTAATTGGAGTATATAATTATGCAGACCTGAACAGCCCTTTATCTCCTAAACTTGCCGATAGACTTGCACTATTGAGATGAACTTAACATCGACGGAGGTCAGCATGTTTTAACGAAATGATGTGTGAGAAACAAGCGCAGAAATTCCATACTGATGACGCGTCACTAGCCAGAACTGGGTAGTGTATCTGATTGGTCGTGCCGCGCGGG